TAATTCCATCTTATTATTATTGATGTGCGGTGTATATTTTGATTAACACCATAACGCACAAAGATGGATTCTCAAAGTTGAGGTACCAAGTTAGTTTTTCTAACATGAGGGGGAGACATGATAAACAATTGAGAAAAAGTTACATGGAATGAATTATTATTTATACATCTCGATCCTCGAATAAGATAATATGAACTTGAAATTCATAAAGGATAATTCATGTGCAATATATTGCAAAGCATGCCGGACGCATTTGCTGACCCAAAGAAAGTAACTATATTCTCATTGCAAATGCTCATATTAAGTCCTAGAAGGACAAAGTCTATGGTACGCTTAAAGCATATAGACAAATCGGTTTCAAATAAACTTCTTGATAAAGAAGATGAGCACATGATCTAAATGATCATAACAAAGGAGGCAAGTGATCTAGAAGATCACATGACATAACACTTCATAAAATCTCATGAGAGATTTAGGTACCTGAATATATGAATGAAGAGATCTCTATGTTATGTCTTTATTAAAAATGGATTGAAACCGATATAAAATGTTCGTCGATGACATCTATGATACCACTAAATATATATGAGGATCTTAAGTCTGGAGAAACAATTTCGAATAGAATTGGTTTCATATGAAAGACATATAGTTTTGAACATGTAGTTCAAACACTTGAAAGTATAAAGTCAATTATATGTGCAATCAGTTTTCGATATCTTATATGTCTAGTATGACATGAAAACTTGATATGCATCTAAAGTCTATTATATGACTTATATGACTTAACTTATATGACAATCCATGAAGGATTTAAGTTGCTTGAAGCATATACAATTCTTGATCTTGAAGTACCACCCCCTCAGTGCAATTTGTGCACAAATGTATCTTGCTATAACTATATGCATGATAATATGATAGCAAGAGTTTTCACCTCTATGTGAAGATATTGAACTGACGATTCCAACAAGATCATATGAAGACAATACATCTATTAAGAATGATGATTTCAAGGTTCAACATATTCATTCAAGTTAATATGGCTGATTTATTTATCAAATCTCTACCAAAGATCTTTTGAAGATGGTGCACAAGATTGGAATGCAAATGCTTAAAGATGTGAATTGATGCTCTCATCAGGGGGAGTTAATGCGCGTTGCACTCTTTTTCCCTTACAAGGTTTTGTCCCACTGAGTTTTCCTTGGAAGGTTTTTAACGAGGCAACCAAAAGGCGTATTATTAGATATGTGTACTCTTTTTCCTTTTCTAGATTTTTTTTCCCATTGGGTTTTATTTTAGTTAAGGTTTTAACGAGGCACATTATCTGTTGAATAGACATTCAGGGGGGTGTTATAAATAGAATTTTATTTATGGTGAATGTCTATATTTAGAGAGATTCTAGGGTTTATTACTTGGTGGCTAAGTCACCCTCTCCCTATAAATAGAGGGTTCTATTCCATTGTAATTCATCACAAAATCAATAAGAATTCTCTCCCTCTACTTTTCTCTACACTACTCTTCTTATTCTTTTATTATTTTATAACAGTAAAAGCTTTATTAGCATATATACACATCTCTAGCCTCTAGCTGGTCTCTAGGCAAGATTTTTCCTGAATATCCTCCAAATTTATCTTCTTTCTTTTTACCTTAAAAAAGAAAAAAAGTAGGCACATGGACCCCCATGTAATCAACAAAAATGCAACTCTCTAAATACGTAATTCTAATATCAAAGACAAGTATATGTGGAATTCCCACGTGAATCTAACGTGGCCACTACAAAAGAAAAAGCAGCTGACTCACTTCTGTTTTCTTCCTTTTCTCAAAAGTAACCGAAAGTAGAAATCTTCCCACAGGTTAAATTTTCCCATTGATTCTCTTATTCTTCTTCAAAGATTCCTCACACCCTTTTTACTATTCATACTTGTAAACCTTTTTTTTTAATTTTTAACTAGACCAGAGATTAAGAAGCTGGAGAAGAAGGTGGTTTGGTTATTTGTGTAATGGAAGATGGGGATGTATCAGGTTCTACAGATGAGAATAAAGCCACAAAAATAGTACAAAGAAGTGAAAATATTAATGGTAATGACAAAAATGTGGAGATTTCAGTAGCTACAGCTTCTACTATGTTTCCTGGGTTTAGGTTTTGTCCGACAGATGAAGAGCTGATATCGTATTACTTGAAGAAGAAGGTTGAAGGGTCTGATAAATGTGTTGAAGTTATTTCTGAAGTTGAGATTTGGAAACATGAACCTTGGGATCTCCCAGGTACACCCCCCCCCCCCAACACACACTTATTCTTTTTCCTTTTTCTTTTCTCGCACATTGTTAATATGGTTGAAGGGTAGTCTTGGCATAGCTGGTAAAGTTGTCTCTACATAGGTCACGGGTACGAGCGTGGAAACACGCGGTGAAGAGCTGCGTACAATAAACCCTTGTGGTTTGGCCCTTTCGCAGACCCGCGCATAATTGGAGCTTAGTGCACCGTGTTAATATGGTTAATATTAAATGGCGGCTTTTGTTTTTTAATTTTTTGATGATTTGTTGAACGATATTTAAAATTTACTTAAAAGAAAGAATAATTTTGCAATTTTTACCTTGTAAAATAGACTTTATCCTTACTAGAAGAGGTGATAGAACCACATGTAAGGACAATAAGGTTATATTAGGAGAAGCAATACCCACCCAACATAGGTTGGTGGTCTTGGATGTAAAGCGTAAGAATAATAGAGTGAGAAAGGAGACAAAGGATTTGGTGATGGACATTAAAGGGTACTAACTAGCTAGCTTTTCAAGAAAAACCCCGGGAGGAGGGAGTACAAGAAATGTTAGGTTGCATTAGAAAAGTAGCAAGCGAAGTGTTAAATATGACTAAAGGTTTAGGATCTCGACGAATGTTAATGGTGGAATGAGAAGGTGCCGAGAGTTGTTAGAACTAAAATAGAGCTAAAATAGAGTGTTATAGAAAGTTAACAAAAATGACGAAGCCTTTGAAGAGTACAAGAGATAGATGAGGAATCTAAGAAAGCTATTAGTGAAGCTCGAGGTGAAGCTGTAGGTGGTCTATAACAAAAGTTAGGGACACGAGAAGGGGAGAAGAAATGTTTAAAGTGGTATGACTGAGAGAGAAGCGGAATGAAGACTTAAACCTGGTGAAGTGTATTAAAGATAATTCTAAACAAGTGTTGGCGGGAGATAATGAGATCAAGGAGAGATGAAGAAGTTATTTTGATCAATTATTTAATTTGTACCACAAGAATAACATATTGGATCTTCATAAATTTATGCGTAATATAAACTTTGGCTACAGTCGTAGAATTAGGTTGACAGAGGTAAAGGAGGTATGGTCCAGATACTATCTCCATAGGTTTAGAAGTGTCTTGGAAAAGTTGGAGTAGGACAGTTTACCAAGTTATATAATGCTACTAAGTAGTGGTAGGATGCCTGATAAGTGGAGAAAGAGTACCTTGAATGCAATTATAAAACACAGAGGAGGTGTGCAAAGTTATGCGAACTATCATGACATTAAACTTATGAGTCATATGATTAAACTTTGAGAGAGAGTGGCAGTGCATAGACTTAGGGACGTACAAGAGTGACAAAGAACCAGTTCGAATTTATACCTGTTAGATCTAACAGATGCTACATTCTTGCTAAGAAGATTGATGGAAATATAGCGCGAGAGGAAGAAAGATATGTACATGGTGTTGATTGACCTAGATAAAACATATGATAGAGTACCAAGAAAGGTCCTTTGGTGGGTGTTGGAGAAGACAATAATTCATATTGAATATGTATATTCCACAAGAACATGTATGAAAGAGCTGTCACTAGCGTGAGAACAGTAGCATCAATCTGTTTGTCCCATTTGACCTACTTTGATAAACTAAGTCAATTTGACCCCTTGTAAGAGTTAGATTGAAATCAGGTTAGTTCATCCTCGTCAAATATTGTTAAGGCATCAATCTCTTTGTCCCATTTATATCAAAAACTATCATCTTGATACATCCATGATGTTTGATGAAGATTCTTCTGAGTATAATTGTCTATATCAACTCAACTGATCTGAGATTCTAATAGTTTTCTTTTTGTCCATCCTTTTTTTTTTTGCCTTTTCTTTTCCTAGTAAATAAAATTGTGTTCTCACAATATTGTCGTAGTTCTTTTTAGATTTTTTAATCTATCTACCGTGCTCCTTGTTTTCTCTTGTCTTCTGAGATGCTTCTTTCTATTCCTAACTTTTAATACTCGTGTGTTGGTGAAGTAAATGGGAAAGTGCGCGCATTAAGAAAGAATCGCGCCCTCTTCAGTCAATAAGATTCTTCTGCTGTTCACGTTTCTTCAATTGGATTTTAGGGCGATTGAGTTGCATTGCGATTAAAAGGTAGTAAATCTAGCTTGTTTTGATAAAAGAACAATCCTAGGAAGAATACTCCTGCAGATGTCATGGCATAGGGGTAGAATCCAAAACAATGTAGACTACTTGCTTGAACATCTGTCTATTCTTGCTCTTGGCATCTCTTATACCGAATACTTGTCAATATCTCAGCTGGAGTTGGGTTTGGACATAAGGTGCACGTACTTTTTCCCAAGTGATTGTTATTGAAGATCTGTAATTTGGTTTTGTGATCGGATTAGACGAGCTCATTCCTCGTAAGAAGCTATATAGTGAGATGTAAGATGCTCAACACAATACAGCTTCATATATTTCTTAGTGGATCAAACTACATAAGTATCATGTTAAGACAACAGAAGAGAGACGTGAAAGGCCAAATAGTATAGATTTTGGAACTGCCAGATAATAGGTGATACTAGTTAAAATTAGGGGGAAATGATGAGTTGCAAACTGATTTCCAGCGCCCCAAAGGAACACCAGAAGCATTGAATTTTAGCTGTATGAATCCTCGTCATTATGCACGATGGTGCCCGTGTATAGCAATTTTCGTCAACTAAGCCTGCTTCCCCTATTGATGTATTGATATACCCAGAAAATAAATATCTACTAGTGCAGAGTGTTGAGTCCTCAAGAATGAGAGGATATTAGATACAGTAAAAAAGATCTTGTCAACTCATAAGTGAGGTCATACATGCTGAATGGGATAATTGCGAGTGTGCATGTCAACGCCATTTCCAAGAGGTCTTATGGCCAAAATCAAAACAAGTTGTGTCAAAGTAGAAACTTCTGGATGACCTTCATAGCATCTTCACTAGGACTTCCATTTTTGGTTGACTGAGTTTTGGATCATATTGCAAACAGAGACATGCAGTGGACAAATCTTTGTTTCAGAATTGCATTTCGTCATGTGTACTCTAAGAACGATTAATGGAATTTGAGACATTGAATGAAGTTGGCGACAATTTATTCCGTTGTTCTCTACTCTAGATGATAATTCGAATGCCACCAACTGCTCCTCCTCATGCTAAATTCTTTCTTTGATTATTGGTATCTATATTTGCATATGTTTATTCCATCCAAAAGGAACGAGCTTATCTTCTGGATATTCAGAAATTTGGTTAGTGATAAAATTCGAATGTTGTTGTTTTCTGAATCATGCGAAATCTGTATGTTTTATTTTAAAAATAGCAACAATGTCTAAAATCAGCCCAAAGTCTGCTGAATTTGATATTCTGGAACTGGATGGAGGGAGAATATTTCATTCATTTACCTTATTTGGAGCAAAATATGTAGATGACTGTGTTTCTTTGTAACTTTCTTGACGTCATTCTTCCCGATCTTTCTGATTCATTAATTGATCATTCTTTTATTCATGCTTTGCCAGATAAATCCATTGTTCAATCAGATAATGAATGGTTCTTCTTCTCTCCTCGTGGAAGGAAATACCCGAATGGCTCGCAGAGTAAAAGGGCAACTGAGTCTGGTTACTGGAAGGCCACAGGAAAAGAACGTAATGTGAAGTCTGGTTCTAATATGATTGGCACAAAAAGAACCCTGGTGTTCCACACGGGTAGGGCACCGAAAGGACAGAGAACACAATGGATAATGCATGAATATTGCATGACTGGAAACTCTTATTATCAGGTATAACAATGCTGTAAGGTAACTGTTGAACCGTCGTCTTTTTACTAAGAACTGCTGAATTTTGAGCTACAACTGCAAGCTAATAAGTCAGTCACTTAAGAAATTGAAAGTCCCATGATACGTTAGTCATGTAGTTCTAATTTTTGATGTTATCTTCTTAATTATGCGAGCTGGAGTTTTATTTGTGTTAGCAGGCCTCGGCATACTGATATATTTTCTGTGAAATGTGAAAAAGAAACTTGAGGCTGCTAGTTTAAATTATTAACGGATCCAATTAGTTTAATCTGGAAACTGGTTTGCTTATTATTTAAAACATGGTTGACGAAAGATTAAAATTTCACTACTGGATTGTTGAGCTTTATTCAAGCTGTTTAAGTGGTATCATAGTAGCAAGGCATCATCCATAAGTTAGGGATTACCACTGTTAATCATTAATGGTGAAATATGATAATTGAGATGTCTATATGGTAAACTTTTTGTTTATTGATGTTTCGATAATTCTTCCACTTACTGCAAACATGGAGATCTTGTATTCTACAGATTATGTTACAATATTATGCTCGATGAAACAATTCCTTTGCTGCAGTGCTCAGCTGCTTAAAATGACATCTTCTACGCGAAGGAATATAAGTTATTTTGATATTCTGATTCCATGTTTTATACAGGATTCAGTGGTTGTTTGCCGCCTCCGGAAGAATAATGAGTTTCATTTGAATGACACCCACGGAAACAGAAGGAATCATCTGGCAAATGACTGCGCCACTGCTTTGTCTGGAGCAGGACAGTTGGACAGTTTGGAGTTGATAAATGGAGGGGATTGCTGTTCAAAAGAGGGTAGCAGCAGTTTTAGTTCTCATTCGGTTGAGAAGATTGAATCTGGGTCTTCCGATAAGCTGACTAAAGAGTTGCCTCAGCATCATTCCTCTAGTCACTGGAAGGTGTTGGTTCTGCCTCACTTCTATATAGCTTGCCTTTTGTACTAGTGTCAGCCTATATATTTGAGATAGTTTATTGAGTAACAATATGATGTTAATTCAAATAACAACTTTGTCTGTCTTCTTAGCCCCCTTCTTTAACTATATGTTTAAAGCATATCCACCATATTGTGAAACTGATTCTGCTAAAGTAAAATCCAATAGAATAGCCCTGCAACAAGTCATAATGCATTGGTAGCCGGGCCTCGCCCCGACATTGGCTTACCTGAAAATGATTCTATTACATATGCAGTCTCGGAGGGATGTCCATTTCCATTTTTTTTATCTATCTTTAGAAGTAGGATGAGGGGACTAAGCCATAGGCGGAGCCGGGGGGCGCGAACCCCCTTCCCCCGAAAATGACACTATATATAATAAGTCAAAATTATATATATGTGTGTGTGTAGTAGTAGTAGTAGTAGCAGTAGTAGATATTGAATCCCTTGATTTCTTTGTATATTTAATTCTTTATATTTTGAACCCCCTTAATGAGATTCCTAGCTCTGCCAGTCTTACCATTCGAGTCGTCCCTAAGCCGTTCTTTCTGTTTATCTGTATTCTCATCCAGACCTGAATCCTGATGACTCGTTATGCTTGAGTGCCTACCATGTCAATATTTCGGGTCCTAATATCTTGGTGTTTTGAATTCCAGGATTGTGATGAAGAGGACTGTTTTGCTGATATAATGAAAGATGATATCGTTAAGCTAGATGATTCTTCATATAAGGCAAGATACAATCTGTTGCCAATAGTCAATAGGAAGCCTGACTCATCTACAAATTCATCAACCGAGGAATCCCAAGATCTAATGTCTCATAGGCTGCCTTTCCAGGGTACTGCTAATCGAAGACTAAGACTACAAACGGAAATAGTGCCCCGTCGAGTAGAGAGATCTGAAGCATATGAAGCTAATAAGAAGAACGGCCGTGCTGTGGATTCCAGTAGACATTTGAGGATTAACATAATTCCAGTAAGAAGAATAAAACAATGGTCGATACCTCTGCTTCTGGTTTCCTTGGCGTTACTGGTCATATTTCTTTGTATGTTTGGACTTCCACAAGTAAAATGGCTTAGGCATCTTCTTGTTATTACTCCAGCTGAAGTTAATACCAGACCTGCATAGATCTCTTTATATAGTATTTCGGGTGGCAGTTCAGAGGAAATTGGTTCAACTTTTGATATGCACGAAAAGGTAGCAGTTGAAAGAAGTTTGGCGGCTTATGTCCCCTATGATCTGCAGTTTTCCAGCAAAACTAAAATTTAGAGATGACACCTTGTAAATTTGTATAGTTGTATAGTAGTAACAGAACTTTAGGGTGCTGTCTAACTTTACATTTTTGTATAAGCCCTTGTAAAGATATCTAGTTGTATAATACCCCGCCGTCGCACGGCGGCTCTTCATATTTTTCTGTATGAACAATTACCAATTTTGGGTTCATATGTTGGGAAGGCTGGTTTTGTAAGCCCTTGAAAGAATTCCTAATTTAGACTTGCCAAATGGAAGTTCAAGTTACATTACCATATTGTTGTTAGTAGTCCTATGTTGGAAATCTGTTAAGAACTGGATAGGGATTTATGACTGATTATTGGCTTTTCATAGTGTTGTCTTTTAGACTTTACTCCCCAATTTTGGAAGGATGGTAAAGGGGTTGTAGAATTGTATAAGTACAGTTATTATGAGTTTTAGCAAGTCAGGAATGTTACGAGGGAGTAATTCAAAAATAGCCAGATTTACCACTGGTCGTTGAAAAATAGCCAAGTTTCAAAAGTCATCGAAATTTAGCCACTTTAAATCTGAGCGAAAGCACTGTTCAAAATCCGGAAAAATACGCCCGTAAATTTTACGGGAGTTCCAGCATAAGTATGCTTGAACTCCCGTAAATTTTACGGGAGTTCCAGGATAACTATGCTGGAACTCCCGCAAATTTTACAAGAGTTCAAGCATAATTATGCTGGAACTCCCGCAAATTTTACGGGAGTTCCAGCAAGTATAATTGTCCAGTATAATATACTGGAGTTTGGAGCACTGGTGCTCCAGTCTCCCGCAAATTTTACAGGAGTTAGCAAAGTATACCGGTCCAGCATAATATGCTGGAGTTCGTACACAAATGCACCAGAACTCCCGTATATTATACTGGACCGATCCCTGTTGCAGCAAAATAGTGGCTATTTTTCATTGACTTGATAAACGCTGGCTATTTTTCATTGACCAGTGTGAAAACTGGCTATACCATGATATTTTAACATGTTACGAGGAACTAGGGGTGGCAAGCGGGCGGGTCAGGTTGGATATGGGTCGAGTCGAAAACGGATAATGTAAAAACGGGTTTTTGACTAAAAGTGTCCCTTATCTATGGAAGTAGGTTTATTTTTGTCCTTCAAATATGGTTAACCCAGAGCATCTTTAATCTCTTAACTTTGCTAAAGTGGAGCACCTTTAGTCTCACTAACAAAATCAAGTTAAAAACTAAGGGAAGGGGCAAATTTTCTAATGGTGCTTTCCCTGAAGCTTTCTCAAATAATATGGCGGGTCATATTTTTATATCGACAAACGATAATTTGCTGCGCTCTCATGATTAATTTGGTAGTACTTCCTTGGGCCACACCCTTCCCTCTTAGAAATTCTTTACAAATCACGAACAACAATTGTTAACTTGACAGAACCACGCACCAAAAAGATATTATCATTGTGCTTAGCTCACTGTCAAGTGTCAACAAAAACACGCACTCCCCTCTGTTTCCAGTGACAACGTAGAGTATAAGAAATACATATCGAAGATGCCAAATGCACATTTGAAATCCGTAACAAGATGATGAGGGACGGAGAATCATCTGACGAAGAAGATGATCTAGAAAACTTGATCCAGCAAAACGAATGTGTAAATGATCATCCATCCCAAATCTCCACTTCGCTCCACATTCCAAATCGGCGACGTCAAGGACCGATTTTTCTTTAATCGGCGTTTTAATTTCATCTTCAGTAAGTGGTATTTCTTAGAAATTACTCTCCCGATTTAAGTACTCAATTCATTATTTCACTACCGACATCAACAACCTATTTCAGACCACCGTTACTAACATTAAGTATAATGGTTCCATCAATTTCATGCGTGAGTCCGAATTGAATGTTGGTTCCATCAACAGTTACTCATTCTTTGATCTCTACATAACTGCTATTGCTAAAGGTCTATATAATTACTGGACGCAGTATTTTTCGTAAGCGGTGTCGTATTTAATGAAGTGAACAAATATATAAATTACTGTCACGATACACATAAAAATAATACAAATTAGAATCTTATTAAAAAAAGTTAATTAAAGTATAATACTACAACCCTCCTCGACAAGTTTTTATTTTTTGAAATGTATTCAGAATATTCTTGCCAGACATAATAGTAAATACTACCTTTTCTATATATAACACTAAGCAATCACTGAAAAACTCTTTCATTATTTGACTTTACAATTTGGGTTCGGACCAACCTCATCTTCCCCCAGGAAAAAGATAGAAAGAAAAAAAGGGTTCGGACCAACTTCATCTTTCCCCAGGAAAAAGATAGAAAGAAAAAAATAGAAAGAAAACTTACCATGGAACATACTTGGAGGAAAATAAGTTTTTTAGCAGAAAACGCTGAAAATCTTACTCAGCATGAAGCTGCTGAAGTTTGAATCCAGGACCTCTCCTAAAAAAATGTAGCAACTACCCAGCAGAGCTAACGAGAAGTATATGTAAAATTGTGTCCTTTTTGTTTATTGAATAATATATTTTTTGTACACATTAATAATTTACACATGTTTAGTGAATTTTTCCGGCGAAGGGGTGTCGGATGACACCGCTTACACCAAGGTGCATCCGCCCCTGAGTATCTGGGATCTCTTATCCAAGAGAATGGGGAGAATGATGAGGATGTCACGCATCGTATCAAAGCAGAGTGGATAAATGGAGGCTAACATTCGGCGTCTTGTGTGATAAGAATGTGCCATTGGGACCTAAAGGTAAGTTCTACAGAGTGGTGGTTCGACCGACTATGTTGTATGAGGTAAAGTATTGGCCATCAAAAACTCTCATATCCAGAAGATGAGAGTAGCAGAGATGAGAATATTGAGAAGGATGTGCGGACATACCAGGTTGGATAAGATTAGGAAAGATGATATCCGAGTGAAGGTGGGAGTGGCTCCCGAGGAAGATAAGATGAGGGAAGCGAGTCTAAGATTGTTCGGACATGTGAAGAGAATAAGCATAGATGCCCTAGTAAGGAGGTGTGAGCGGTTGGTCTTGGTGGGTATGAGAAGAGGTAGAGAGAGGCCAAAAAAGTATTAGGGAGAGGTGATCAGGCAGGACATGGCACGACTACTGATCGAGGACATGGCCCTTGATAGGAGAGTGTGGAGGTCAAGAATTAGGGTAGAAAGCTAGTAGGAAGTCGAGCTTTTTCTTTCGTTCTATACCAATGGTAATAATGTTGGTCTGTTAGTTTTCTTCTTTTTAGATTGCTTTTATTCCCTACTGTTTTCCTACTATCTTTCACTTCTATTTCTTGGTATCTTGCTATTGTTACTGCTTATTGCTACTGTTTCCTTTTAGTTATTTTTTGGCTATCTGTTTGTAACGACCCGCCTGGTCGTTTTGCCTTTTTGAACCCCGTTCCGTTAAATAAAACTTCCCGCGCTTGCTTTAGCTAATTTATAACTTGCAGGGACGGTAGGTTCGAGATTTGGAAGAGTTTTGGGTGAAATATGCCCATGTGATTCCTTAAGATTTTCTTAAAAGACTAAGTTTGACTTTGGTCAACATTTTGAGCAAACGGGCCCAGATTTGTTATTTGACGGTCCCGGAGGGTCCGTAGGAAAATACGGGACCTGGGCGTATGCCCGGAATCGAATTCCGAGGTCCCTAGCCCGAGTAATGAATTTTTATTTAAAATTGTTAATTTGAAATATTAAGGATTTAAATAAACTAAGTAATGATTTATCACGTTGGTATCGGGCCCGTATGTTGGTTCCGGAGCCCAGTACAGGTCCAATATAATATTGTAGACTTGTCTGTGAAATTTGGTGAGAAACGGGACTGATTTGACGTGATTCAGACGTCCAGTTGTAAAGATAGGAATTTGGATGTTCTTAAGGATTTTAGGCGTTTAGGTGTTGAATCTGTGGGTTTAGGTGTTATTTCGGCGATTTGATCACTCGAGCAAGTTGGTACAATGTTGCTGGACTTGTGGGAGCATTCAGAGTGGAGCCCTGAGGGCTCGTGTGAGTTTCGGGCATGGGTTTGGAATTGATCAACACACCAGTTTTCTGGTGTTTTGCTGCTGCTGCAGGTCTCGCAAGTGCGAAGGTAATATCGCATTTGCGATGAGGCTGGCTGGGGGCAGTGGTCGCATTTGCGACTTTTGCTTCGCATTTGCAAACCCAGCAGGGTCCGCATTTGCGACCCCTCTATCGCAATTGCGATCAAGGCTGAAGGAGACCCAGTTCGCATTTCCGAACATATTGTCGCAATTGCGACTTCGCAATTGCGAGCCTGGTGTCGCAAATGCGACATCAGAGACCTGGACACAGCTTTTAAAAACGGGACTTAGGCCATTTATTTCATTTTGTCTCTACACTTGAGCGATTTGGGAGCTTTCAAAGAGGAGATTTCAACATAGCATCGTGAGGTAAGTTATTTCTACTTAATGCAAGTTTAATACTCGAGATTTGGGTAGATTAACACCTAAAGATTTGGAGAAATCAAAGGGATTAGAGCTAAACCTAGGGTTTTAATAAAACTTGGATTTAACCACAATATTTGTTATGGAATTAATTGGAAATCATATATTAGTGATCTTTAGGTTGTAGAGAACAACTTCCTTCGAAAAATTTCGAAATCCGGGCACGTGGGCCTGGTGTTGGATTTTGGGAAACTTGTGTTAATGGTTGGGAAATTGCTTAAATAGCTAGAATTCGATCTTATGAGTCTATACTAACTAGTTCTTACGTCGTTTAATTAGTTCGGGATCGTTCAGCTCCGAATTGAGGGCTTGGACTTGTTCTTGGCATTTGGAGTACACTTTGGAGCGAGGTGAGTCTCCTTTCTAACCTTGTAAGAGGGAATTGTCCCCATAGGTATAATAATTGAATTAAATGCTAATATTTGTGGGGGCTACGTACGCACTAAGTGACGAGAGTCCGTGCGTAGCGACTATTATGTTAATTTCGGGTAGTCTAGGACCCATAAGCATGCTCTACGTGAGATTCTTTTATCTTGATGATAACTTCGGATTCGTATAAACTATTTTGATTAAGGTAAATGTGACTAATGAAGGAACCTTATCCTGTTTGGTCTTTTAAAAGAGAATATTAGGTATCCCTGTGAATAACTACTCCTCAGATATATATATATTATTGTTGGCTTGTTGATGAGTTTACTTATATTTGACCGCGTCGCATGGGT